TGAAGGAGCAAATTTATCCAGAAAAAGTGAAACATGACTCTCCCTTTTGGCTCCTAGCCATCATTCAGCAACCCCTTTCTTCTGGGCAATGAATAAATAAATAAATTATTGGACAGTAATTTTCTAGTTGTGCAATGATGATTTTTTTTCGTTTTCAAAAGCTAATGGTTGGGGGAAAAAAGAAATACTCATAATTGAATGTGGGCTGTCCCCATCAGTGGGGTGGGTCCAATTGTGTTTTTGTTGTGGGCCCAGTTAGAAAATTGGATGGACATGATAGCGGCCCAACTTGGAACATACTGATATTATATATTGCCATTGGCTTCCTCCAATAATGCACATTGAGCTAGCTATAGCAAACCTCCTTTCGATCTAACGTACTCAAATCAAAACACAGAGGACTCGAGACTTCAAGTTTTCCTCTTTTTCCAAAACAGTACACTAAAGTCAGGATACGGTATATATAATCAAAATACAATTAGTACGCGACTAGAATAAACGCGAAACACAGGTTTACAAATAGGAAAACGTTGTCCAATTTGAAGAAAGTGAAATGATGAGTAACGAAATTCGCTTTTAGGAGGGGTGCTCCAACCCTTAGCCAAATTTCGTCATATTTTACCTTGCCATCATTCTTTAGTCTTAGCCAATTTCACCCCACCTCGTCACACTAAGAGAGGAAGGGGGCATATGTTAATTACCTCTTAGTCACACCAAAATGGGTGCTCCAACACTTAGCCCATTTTTGGAATGGATGGTATAGTGTGGCACATACGTGATGACATAAGTGCAATGGGTCCAAAAGCTCAATCAATTTGGCCCATTCAAATTGATTTTAATTGTTATAATTAAGTGGCCTTATAAAGTTATTTTAATCTCTTATTTTAACTGATATGAATCTATGATGCATGTTTAATTTTGGTTATTAATATAGAGAATTGGGTGAATAATTTAGAGTTGGGTTAGTATAGGATTAGTGTGGGCTTTCCGATCGAGGAGTCTTTCGGATTTGTGTCGTTAGCTATATATGTACTTTGTCAATTGTTTCAATCAATCGAAGAAGAGAATAAGAAAATAGTAGAATATTAGAGCAATCATAGTATTTTTAGTTGTGAATTGGAGTAAATTATCGTTCAATCGATGCATTAGAAACTCTAATGCATGCCCATATGCACTTTTTTATATATCGGAAAATACCCAATACGCAAAACAATGTAATAATACAAAAGACTTTTATATCTTATCGGGTCTTGAACGCAATCTAGAGAAGAGTAAAATCTTCTTTGGGGGGATGAGGATCAAAAGATTATTGCTACTTCAACAGGCTTTCCTCTTGGTGTCTTTCCAGTTAGATATTTAGAGGTCCATCTTTTGGCTAGGCAAGCTCTCAAGCTCTAACTGTTAGTGTCTTGTAGTTGTAGATAAGATCACAACTAGGATTCGTGGCTTGAGCTCGAAACTATTGAGTTATGCAGACCGCTTTCAGTTGGTGTCCTCTGTCATCTCCAGTGTGTTACAATACTGGATGAGTGTTTTCCTCCTCCCGTAGAGTGTATTGCATGATATTGAGGTTATATGTAACAATTTTTTGTGGGGTGTGAGTGAAAATAGCACTCAGATCTAGAGGTCTTGTTGTACCCAGCTCCACCTCAGTTGGTTTTTGGGTCTGGAAGAGTGTTCTGAAGGCTAGGGAGGAGGCTCATCTGTTCATCACTAGTTTGGTGACTCTGTCAAGTGGTCAAACCTCACTATGCCTAGATATTATGTTAAACAAGTATGACTTCTATTCGTGACTCACGAGCGTTAGTCTCATGGTCTGAGTTTGTTTGGAGAAGGTTTTCTATTCCCAAGCATATGTTTAAAGCTAGTGGTATTACCACTTAGACCAATCCCTTATTCGTATGGTGATGAATTGTGTTTATAAGTAGCGTTGTCGTCGCTGCTATGGAGATGACCCTCTGCAATCAGCTTCACAGTTAGTGGCTCGGATCCGATCAGCAGCTGCTTTTGTTATTCATAGTCTTCCTACTTGTAATGTCCTGCCCAGTTTTTTTGGGTTTCCTAGCTACAGTTCTGAGTAGATTTATCAGGTTTTGATTGTTGATGGTAAGTGACATTTGAACATATGAGAGGATCCTTAGTTACAAGGGGAACCGAGTGTTTAATGAATTTTTGATTAACCATTAATAATAATAATAATAATAATAATAATAATACAAAAGACAAAAGCCATGACCGAAGTCTCGACCAGGGAAAAAACCCAATAGAGTAAAGGGATGCTTTCTTAGCTATGCTGTTCTGTCGTGTTCAATGCAATCTTGTGTCTCCCTCACCAAAGATTCATCCCCGTCTTCACCATTTCCCTCTTGTCTTCTTCTTCTTCCTTTCATTTCCCGGTCTCAACATCTCCACCTGTCCCTTTAAGAGCAGAAGTTGCCAAAAGAAAACGACCCATCTCTTCCCTTCTTTCAACATCCTTCATTTCTCGACCATATGGGCTTTTGGCCCTGTAGTTTAGTGTCCATATTATGTAGGATGATTGTTTACCATGTGGATATATGTATATATACGCATGGTCTCTCACCATATGATCCTATGTGTAACAGTATTGAAAAATCCTTCGAATTATCATATCATCGTTAATAGTTCTTTAATGTCGTCGCGGCGTACCGTATTTTGTTGATATTCATTAGTCACACTAGCATAAGTGGAGAAACGTGGTTGGTCATGTCTCGATGTTTAAGCATATGCGAGCGGAAACTCTTTGATGACAGTTTTTTTGTCAGAATATATTTACCCAGTCATAATTTTTTTTACTACGATTTGATGGGGAATAATAACTGACGAGATTGAATATGGAATCGACTCCTCTTGAAGAGGTGTTTTAAGCACTTGAAAAAAATGTATTGTAATGCACCCATTTTGTTTCAATATGTTTTTTTAGTGATCACGTGGAAATCATGATCAACGAATGAAAAATTTTACTCTTTTTCCTCACGGTACATGATAAATCCTCAAATACAACTAACCATGACCTCAACAAACTCATGGCAACAGTTAACACGAGCACACGATCATGTCAACCGTTATCGAAACATTTCTCTCTTACTTCAAACCGAAACCAAATCGAGTTATATATAAACTCAATTTCACCTGTGTGTACCAAACGGCAGAATCCAAGAGGAACTTTCTTCACATCCGCTATGTTGGGGATAAAGTGTGATTCCCCCAAAGTAAAAACCACTTCCACTTCATAAGCTCAAATTCACGAGATCGCCTGATAAAGATAAAAGGAGCAGAAAAATGGACAAAAGGAGCAGTATAGTAGTAGGACTGGTCAAGGAAATGCAAGTTCAATGAACATGTGGGGGAAAATAACTAAAAACCTAAAAATGGCCGGTGTGTGCATTCACTTAATTATTAGCCTACAGACAAAAAAAAATTCCATCAGTTAACTGCAGAATTCCAAAATTGTGATGTATGACTTGGTGATTAGTACTGGTCTGGTTCTTTAGCCACATGATGATAAGTTGTGTTTCAATCATTTTGAAACCATCTGTAGGGGAATGAAATTGATCAGTAAATTATCAAGAATATTACTTCGTCAATCGCGAGAAGTTTTAGTACCGAATAATACTCTTTTAGGTCGTTTAGGTTGAGTTATTCATAAATGCTTTACCAATTGTGCATATGAAAAGTGCTGGTTGATATAGACTAATAAGGTTTGATTACCAGATGCATCGTTAAGACGTTAACTGATTCAATGCTACTCATTTGGGCAAAACGAGTTGAACCTTCCCAGTCAAATCTCGTATTGTGGGCATTTGTTATGGACGATTTTGAGATGAGAAGAGGTCACCTCCAAAAATAAACACATTGTACGAACTATCATAAATGGATTCAGTGTTTATTCATGAGCAAAAAACTAGTTGTACCTTCTCACTCCAACCTTGTCCTATGTTAACGATAAGACCGCCCAATAACTTGATTTTTTGGAATATAGATTGTGAAGTTTTTATCTCGTAATCGCCCTCCTAAAAAAAAGCCTACTTGCGGGTTTTTAATTTGTACGGGTTGATTATATTATCTATTGCGTGAAACCATTAGACTTTCAGTTTGACTCGGCGAAGAGCTTGCTAATGGTATTGGTACCAATTAATGAGTAACTAGAATAGTAATTAGTTAGTGATATTACTGTTAGCACTTAGCAATGCATTTACGCTAAATTGCAAAAAATTGTAATTACCGAAGACTTTAACCCTTCCTTTTCAGGCAAATGAGAATGACGGCCGCACCAATCTGACAGAAAATAAGCACCGCCGCACCCCTAAGGTCGTCAATCTATATTTGTGATGTTTTTTTTCTTCTTCTTTTGGGTAGAGACAAAACACAGCTATATCCATGTTTAATTTTATAATCACTCCTCAATTATTTGCCTCCAATTTTGATAAAATTAGTGGCATTATTAGCTTCTCATGTCTGCTGTAATTTTTTTTCCTGGATTGATTGAGACGTAAATGGTGGACATGTAGAACAGCTAGCTAAATGCATAGTAGGCTATTAGCGAGTACCAACTAGTTGGACATCAAACACAAGTATTACAAAATTATCATCATTCATTATAAATCAAAGAAACAAATACTTTAATTAGGGAGTGAGGTTCGTTCTTTCGACTACAAAAGGGAGTCATATAGAGTAGACAACTTTCGGGTTCTGACTTCTTACGACATTTGGGACTTTCGGCGAGAGTTGTTTGATAGGTGAGGATTGGGGTGCTTGGAATTGTTACTTTGGTTGGTATTTAAGCTTGAGACTTTTCCCCTTAGCCAAAGTAAAAACGATGTTGTTATGCTAGTTGGCGATTATCAGATTGTTTAGGGGGTTAACCAATAAGCAGAATTAGCTAATTGGTAACCGAACCACTAAGAATTTATCGTTTAACTACTAACCGCAGTTATCGACTCAATTATAGATTAAAATCGATAATCAACTAACTGTTTTCCAATCCTTGATCCATATGTACAACAAATGATTGGTTGAAGTTAAGGGAAAATAAGTGAGTCACTAGGTTCTTCCTTGAACTAGTGTTGCTCAATATGAACAAGTAAATCACGTAAATTCTTGTATTTGGCTTTTGTGTTTCTATTACTTCTACATTCCAGTTTGGTTTGCTCTCCATTTTCATATCTAACAAACTCCACAAAGATTGGTTTCACTATATTGAAATCGACTTGAGATATGAGAAGTTGCGACTACACTCTTGTTTGAGTAGTTCGATTGTATTGAAAAACTAATTAGAACAATCACCATCATATAACAATATTAAAATCATTTCACTGGTTGATTGGAAGGAATTAGTGAGTCACTATCTCCCACGTTTATAGGGAAAATGAAACAAGTGCACAAATTATCTTAAAGGTGTAGTAGTTCATATTACCTCGACGGTGTAGAATATTTTTGAATTTCAGTCACTAATTTTTATTATCCATCATCGAATTATGTAATAATTATTTAGGTCTTTTGGACCCGATTGGTAATAATTAAATGGTAAGATGCAATTTCATTCCGTTAATAAAAATGTGTGTAAGAAAAATCGAAAATTCCCCTCTCTCAAAAGTCAAAATCGATTAGATAGTGATTGATTTATCATTTATGCCACAATGAAGCCATGAATCTAGCATTTTGTTTATTAAGTTGGGCCGACACAAAGAAGAAGAAGCAAGAATAAGCTGGATCCGTTTTCCTGAAGCACACAAGGATGAGTGGGCCATTAAGGCCCAAATCGAAATGCAAAATAAAAAGTAGTGGATTTCCCCTTTGGTTCCTCATTCGTCGTAGGAAAATCGTTCCCTGGCCGGCATCCTTACTTCCGCTTCTTTGGATTCGGCGGGCGGAGATGACCGGTGGTGTTTTTGCAGGCCGAGAATCTGTTTCATGTACGCTTCTCGTCGTTGCTTTAACGCTCTCAAATTCTCGGCAAAGGTCTACGGACATGGTATTCAGAAGACGGCGGAGAGGGTAGCTCTTCAGAAGTGTTTTTTTGCCCACACCACCCACCTGTTCGATGAATTGCCTCACAGAAGCCTGTCCTCCCTCAATTCTCAACTCGCAGTTCACGCTCGCGGAGGTAGCTTTCAAGCTGTGTGGGATTTGTTCCGACGAATGCATTGCACCTCAATTCGGCTCGATGCCTACACTTTCACCCCTGTCCTCAATGCTTGTTCTGCTCTGCCATGCCACGAACGCGGGAAACAAGTGCATTCGCTGATGGTCAAAGCGGGCGCGGATTCAGGGACCATCAGCAAGACGACCCTTATGGATATGTACTCCAAGTATGGATATTTGGTGGATTCAGTGGCCGTATTTGAAGAGATGGAGTTTCCTGATGTTGTGAGTTGGAATGCTTTGATATCGAGCTATTTGAGGAAGGATCTTGTCAAGGAAGCACTTGGTGCCTTTTGTGGAATGAGGGATCAAAGGGTGGAGTTTAGTGAGTTTACTTTATGTTCCGTGCTTCAAGCATGCAACTTGTTGAAGGCTTCTCGACTGGGTAAGCAAGTTCATGGCTTGGTGATTGCGATGGGACGTGACCTGGTGGTCTTGTGCACTGCTCTGATTGATTTTTACTCAGAAATTGGAGATATTGCCGGAGCTATGGTGATTTTTACTGGGTTGAGTTGGAGAAAGGATGATGTGATGTGTAATTCTCTGGTTTCTGGTTGTGTGAAGAACAAGAGATACAAAGAAGCATTTGCTGTAATGAATATGATGAGACCAAATGCAGTTCGCCTCACCAGCGTTCTCACTGCTTGCTCAGAGATTTCTGATCTACGGACTGGGATGCAGATTCACTGTGTAGCTACACGTTTTGGGTTTGTTTCAGAGACTCAATTGTGCAATGCATTGTTAGACATGTATGCTAAATGCGGTAAGGTTTCTGATTGTAGATCAGTATTTGATAAAATATGGAACAAAGATGTTGTTTCGTGGACTAGCATGATAGATGCATATGGAAAGCACGGGTATGGATATGAAGCTCTTGAGCTGTTCGAGAACATGGGGAAGGAAGGAAATGCCGTGTTGCCAAATTCTGTTACGTTTCTTGCTGTTCTATCGGCTTGTGGTCATTCAGGCTTGGTGGAAGAAGGCCTCCAGATATTCAAGCTTGCCAAGGGGAAATACGGTTTGCAGCCTGACATAGAGCACTACTGTTGTTTCATAGATGTACTGGGCAGGGCTGGCCAGATAGAAGATGCTTGGTCCTTGTATTATGAGATGGTTGGCTACGGGATTCAGCCTACAAGTGGCATATGGGCTTCACTACTCAACGTTTGTAGTCTAAACCAAGATGCTTCAAGAGGGGAGTTAGCTGCCAAGAATCTCTTGGTGCTGGAACGCAACAATCCTGCAATCTGCGTGCTGCTGTCAAATTTCTATGCATCCATTAAAAGATGGGAGACTGTTGGCAGCCTGAGAAGCAACATGGCGGATGAAGGGTTGTCGAAAGAAGCTGGAAGCAGCCGGGTCAGCAACCACTTATTTACAAGTTAAGGAATATCACAAGTTCTGCGTTTCAGGTATTACTATTAGCAGGTTGACGGTATGGTCAAGAGGAAACATATCTTGAGCTGCCTGCTGCTGGATTGCACATTTGCTAGTTGCATACCGAATAACATACCAGTCAATCATCCATATCCATTTTTGGTCTTTGGCCATCGTTTTTTGGCGAATTCCGGGCCTTGGTTGAAGGTGAAGATATTTTAAGGGTGCATTGATTGCACTGCTCTACAGTCAGGGCAGACAGACCAATGAAGTTCCACAGTAATGGTTCTGAATCTCTGAGAAGATGGGTGGAAAGCATGATCATGACTTTGTTAACTCTTTTGTTTAGTGGTAGTGTTAGTCGTCTTAGTTGTTGGTAATCATGCAAACGGGTGTTCTGTGAAAAGCTGTATGGTAGGGGACGTGAAAAAATGATTTAGGTTCTCCCCTTCATATGCATCCTTGTGGTACTGTTTTGTCTGGTTTTGATTTGTTGTTTAGGGCCGCATGTGGGGCAAGGTATGCTCTATGGGCACATGGGTGCTGACAATCCGGACATGATGGTAGTAGTACCAAATGGCAAATGGGACACTGATTCATTTCCCTCTCAGCCAGGGTAAATGGTTCTTACCCTTTTCCTTTAACATCAGATTATCAAAGTTTATAAAATTTGATCTACATGTGCTTGATCTGTTTCTCTTCTGGGTATTGATCTGCAAATCTTTGAATATTGCCTCATTAAGTCCATGAACTCACCTTGCTGTTGAGAACTGGTTTTAAGGTATAAAGGTTGCTGGGCTGGCTGTTTTTTTTTTCTTCTTCTTGCTGCATGTCATTCTTGGGATATTTTCTGTAGCAAATATGTGCAAAAGTATTATTCAGTATATATGTTATGTGTGAATTCTGGACCAGTCTGTTGAACCATAAGTTCACTGGTGCAGTGGTGCCTCTATAATGAAAGTGGGTCATCTCCCTCATCAGTCATCTCATCTCCTCTCTTTGCATTTGTATGAAACACAGAGAGATATTGTGTTGTGAATTGTTTTGGTGTGTGTGTTTGTGGGTACGTTGTCCTATGGCCATGTCACCATGATACTTCACCAAAACGCATTGAATTGACTCTGTGCAGAGAGAAGGGTGTCGTTAGATAGTGTTGCATGGTCAGAATCGAGTTGCTGGCACAATTAGGATTTAGGAATGGTACCCTAAGTTCGGTCAAACCGGAAATATATAATACCGGATATGGGTATGAAGATTGAACCGAGATTAAAGCACGATGTTAGCTTAAAATATTATACCACTGATTTTTCCGATATAATCTCCGGTAAGATTTCGCAACCCCTAACTCAATCGCTTTGAGAATGTATATCAAGGTGAAACGAATTATATTATGGTATTGTTTCGCAGTGGAAACTAACATTTTAAGTGTGAACATGTATAATAAGATAATATACTGGGATGAAGTGTGGGCGGTTCTTCGTTCTTGCCGTGCTAAGAGCATTTGATATTGCATTTCCAATTGCAAAATGACATGTCATAGGTTTTGCAATTACAAAACCAATTACATTGATGTTGCTATCCATTGCATATTTGCAAGATTGCGAAAAATGCAATTGCATATGAAAGCTAAAATTACTAAAACAAGATCCTTTATTTTATTTTTTTCTTTTTACTTTATTTGTCATAGTTTAAAAATAATATTTAACTCTATTATAAAAAAATAAATAATGATATTTAACTACATATGCAATTACAAGTAGATGATTAGTACGTGATCTCGTCACAATTGTTAATATCACAATCCTATTTTTGTTATTTTGGATATTTGTGCGAAAATAAAATAAAAGCCTAATAAAGCCCATTTTCTGACAGCCCACGAAGATCATTGGCCCAGCCCTTATTCTGTTTCGAAACCTTCTCATATCTTTTAACAAGAACATCGAATTCTCAACAAGAAACGTCTCTTTCCCTTCTCCTGTTTCGAAACCTTCTCATAATCTTTTAAAGTTTTTCTGCCTTACAATTCGCCGGATTGGCCCTTGGCGATCTGTACTTCTTTCCCAAAGGCCAAAGCTTTTGAAATTGAACTCGCAGCTTGCCAGAATTCGGAAGGAGCCGCAGTTGTTCGGCGCAGAGACGCGGTGCCTCGTCGAATATCCCGATCTCTTTCTTGGCCGTGGATTTCATTTCGACCCGATTCGGGCTCTTTCCTGCGGTGGTCGGCAGAGGGATCCGATTTCTACATCTGTTTGGCAAAAGGCGCCGCTGAATTGACACAATGGTACGGTCTCAATCGAATTCTTCGGCGGCGGGGAGGGCAACCTTTTGGGGCTGGTTCTTCATCTTACTCGGCTGCGTTTCTTTTCTGGGCTTTTTCTTCGCTGCCGTTGTATCAAAGCTTCTTCCTTTATCCGAAAATCCAATCATCTCAGCCGTTCAGCAGGATAGGTGAGACACTCTGTTCTCTAAAGTTCTGTAGTCTCATAAATTGGGAATCTTTAGGCTGCAGTAGATGATAAATTAACCCAGTTTGAGAGAGACCTGAACAAATTTTGATGAAGACATTTTTCACAGATTCTGTATAAACTTTGTGCTGCTGGACTGTTTTTTTTTACAGGTATTACTGCTTCCTTGTGCCATTGACGCTGCCCATCCTTATCGTTGCCGTATACTTCCACTGGCTAAGTATGAAGCTTTTCAAGCATGCTTGATGTTTTGGCTACATCCAAGGACGACATATGACACCGAAGAACATCCCAATTGCCGAGAAATTCATAGCCTTCAACAAGGTAATTTCTCGAATTCCATGAATGGTGAGATTCGATTCATTGGACAAGACAAATGGCTGTTTGTGGTACAAATAAGTTGATCTATTCCACAGACAATCGTAGCAGATTACCAGAGTTCTGTAGAATTAGGGAACATGTTGACAATATTATGAGTGTCCAAGATTTGACTGCACCATTTAGTACTGATAACCTGAAGTCATTTCTGTGTTCATACATTGCATTGCTTACTGCAAACATAATCAGATATATATCAAAAGTGATGACAAGAGAGAATTAGTGCTCTCTGCATACACAAACCAACCATACCATCCATTCCCAAGTTTAATTTCCAACATTATTTGCAGAAAGCATATATGTCATAGCTAGTCTACCTGTAGCTAGCATTCGATCGGGATCTGCATTCCGTTTCAGCAAAAACTGTACTGCTCGTACCTAATACAACATATACGGTTACTGACACGATTCCCACTGGTTCTTCCACCAGCAGGTATGAATGTATGATGCCCCAAAAGGAAAGCTGTCTTTAGTTGCAGACTTGCAGTAGCAGGATTCACTACTGATCGCGGGAGGGACATATTGGATCGATCTGAGCTGCAGAAGAAGCTGTAATATAGCTGGCAGTAATTATAGTAATCATATTGGCTATGGTGATTATCATTAGCATGACAAACGTTGTTGGTTTCGGCTATGAATCAGTGGAAGAATGGACTAATACTGCTGCACATACCATATATATACACACCTGCCAAGTTGAAGGACATTGTTGGCCTTCTACTTGTCTATGTATTTGAGATTCTACAAGTTCAGTAACGTTAAATATTTTCTTTATTATAAACAAATACAAGGAATTTTTAACTTGTATAGCTAATCAAACGAGATTCCTTTGTCGCAGATACATTAATAACATTTCTAGATCGATCACTACAATGAAAAGGACATCCCGTTTCAACAAAAACTGTACTGCTCGTACCTAATACAGCAGACGTCGGAGCCGGCCCTAGCCCCGGCCTTGCCGGGACAGCTTGTTTTGATCATCTCGCTGCCGCCCAACAAACACCTCTCGCAATCCCCCTGAGGTTTCCGCTCGTCGAGGCAGGACGCGAAGCCGGAGAGCTCGATGTTGCCGCCGCCAGCTGCGGGGTACGTATCCGTGCTGCAAACGCCTGCCCGGCTGCCCGGAAGCCTAGCGACGAAGTTGCTTCGGGTGGAAGACAGCACTTCCGCCTGCAGGTTTTGTGCGTCGGGAGGCAAGTCGTCGCTGTTGCAGAAGAAGGCGCCGTCGCCGAGTGCGGGAAGAAGGCATATTGGATCCATCTGAGCTGCTACAGATGGAACTGAAGTAGTAGTAGTACAGCTAACAATAATTATGATTAATATCGCGGCATGAATAACCGTCATTTTATTTATTTATTACGATTCAGTATCATGAAGGAAACCACAAAACGCAAATATATATACTTTTGTAGAAGCCGCCCGTGGCGCTAGATGTCGAGGATTTGAGATAAGAGATTGAGGTTGAGACGATGGATTTTTCTATATAGGGTGATGATGTAGATACGTTGATATCAGGGGAAAATGTTTCGAATTATTCCCTGATAGTTGACCAGCCAATCACAAGGGTCAAGAAGCTAGGAAAACTCACATTTCGCTTGGTTATTCACGTCTGTGGAAATTTTTGTGGTGTAGCTAGCCCATTGTTTGATGTGGTTGGTGAAGGGTATCTCGTAGAGAGCTTGCTATTTCTTCCCATGTTGTTAGCTCTCACTTGTTTGGTGAAGCATGAGAAGTCATCTTAATTTGTATGGCTAATTAAGATGAGATCGATTGTCGGGTCCATTGTTCATCAAACGAGATTTGGCTATCTGAGATATACTATAAGTAGATTCGTATCAGAGCCCTATCTATACCATTACAATCAAACAATAATAACCCATTTGCATTTGATTTATATGGTTAAACTTAAAGCAATTGATGATCTAAACTTGATTTGGAATTGCAATAATTAGGGCTGGTAATCGGTCGGTATCCGATATACCGGATATCGATTACCCGGTATACCGGATACCGATTACCCGGTATTCGGTATATCGGGTGCTGGCGTCGTGGCTGTCGAATACCGATACCGAATTTCAGTCGGTATACCGGGTAATCGGTATCCGGTATGAACCTGATATCCCGAAAACCGTGGGGCAAAATGGGGAAGAACCAAAGAAGAATTGTCATCTCCGTCGGAATCTCTGCACTCAAACTCAGCGAACACTCGCCTCCTCCCCTGTTCTTCTTCTTCTTCCCTTCTTTTGTCTTCTAAATCCTTCCTTTCTTCTTCTACCTCTCCGTTGGCGACTGCTGCTGCTGGTGAAGAGAAGAGGATGACGGAGATGCGGCGTCGCTCTCCCTGTCGGCGACTGATGCTGGCTGAGGTGGGAGGGAGATCGAGTTTGGGCTTCGGGGAAGAGAAGATGAAGAGGAAGCAGGGGCTAGCTGCTGGGGGCGACAGATTGAATCGGACAGAGGAGAAAGGAGTGGGGCGGCGGGGGTTGTATAACGACGGATTGAATCGGGGAGGTCGAGGGTCGGGGATAGTTGCGGGTGGGAATTGGAAAAATTTAGTTTAGGGTTTATTTATTCAAAATCCAATCCCCCCTGTGGCCCTGCCGGTACGCTACGCTGTACTATTTTTTTTTTAAGTTTCGGTATTCCGGTATACCGAAATACCGTCAGTATTTACCGCCAAGCAAGGTTGTCAAACCCATTTCTGTGTATTTAGTTCAAATTTTAACCTATTAAATTAAATTAAATTTGGGCGAATGTTGATAGTTATGAGTATTTTTGCCATCCTCGACCCTTCCTCTACTATATGAACAAGGCAAACCGACCTAACTTAATTGATAATTCCCGTTTCTTCACAAGTTGGGCTCTATTTTTTCGCGAGCCCATTAACAGCGTGGCCCAAAGGGCCCAAAACCATTATCTACAAACCATACAGTTCCAAGGTCTTTCCCTTTTCTTCTTCGCCTTCAAGAGACGTTCTCTTCCCGTGCTTCTTTGCCAGGCCGGAGAGCTACCAAAAACCCCTAATTTCGACCGACGGACAAGCAGAAAACTTAGGGTTTTTTCCCTCAAGAGAAAATGGCGAACGACGCAGAGGCGGTGGACTTCGAGCCGGAGGAGGATGATTTGATGGACGAGGATGGAACGGTCGACGTCGACGCCTCCTCGCCGCGGGCGCCGCATCCCAAGCTGAAGTCCGCGATTACCGGCGGCGCCTCCACTTCGCTTGCACCGAAGAAGACTAAAGGCCGCGGTTTCAAGGAGGAAGCTGACGGCGAGCGGCAGAGTCGCCTGGCTGGACGTGACTTCGATTCACTCGGCACTGAAGGCGGTCCTGGTGCTCAAAGATGTAAGTTCCTCTTTCCGCAACCTTTGGCCTCTTAGATGGGTAGTTTCAGTGCCTGTTTGTAGCTTGAAGTGGGAATTTTAGAGGTTTGAGCATTCTGGGTAGATGAAGTCTTAGTTCTTAGTGTCTTTGGGATTTGGATGCGTGATTTGGCATTCAGTGAGCTAGATTTGAATTTCATTTGAACAATGAGGTGCAACACAAGCCAATTTAGCTGCCATGGGAATAGAGAGCTTACAGAGTAATGTGAAAATCTATGTTTGTTTAGTGAGCTTTGACTCTTACTTCATGGCTTGCTTAATTGCTTTCCCCGCGACATAGATGTTGAATTAGGATGTTAACAGTTCGTTCTCTGAAAACTACGTCTCTGGTTTGAACTGAAGTGTGCTTGATGCTTCTGCAAGGTGTATTATATCAAACTGAGAAAATTCCTGTCTGATTTGTGTGGTTGGCAGCCATTGAGGGATGGATTATTCTGGTTACTGGTGTGCATGAAGAGGCTCAAGAGGACGACTTGCAAAATGCTTTTGGCGAGTTTGGCGATATTAAAAATCTGCATTTGAATCTTGATCGCCGTACTGGTTTTGTTAAGGTATGAACAAGTTCCTTCAGTTTCCTTTCTTCTAGGCTACCTTAGAGTGGATGCTTTTTTCAATAAACTGATGAAACAAATTCATTGGTTTGCTAGGGATATGCGCTGATTGAATATGAGAAGTTTGAGGAAGCACAAGATGCTATTGCTTCAATGAATGGGGATAAAATACTTGAACAGACTGTCAGTATTGATTGGGCCTTCTGCAATGGTCCCAGCACTGGTCCTTTCAAGAGGAAGAATGCCAGGTTTGTCCCCTTTTTCCTTTCAACAACATTTTGATAATGTCTTGGTACTGAAATAGAAGAACAGGCTTTTAGAACTAATTATGATCATGGTGGCCTTACTAGGATAATCTGGTCGGCTAACCGTATATTTCTTTAGTGCCTCTTCCTGCAGCATGACTTTCTTGAATAAGACACTCATGGCAGTTGTTTAACATGAATTTCTTTGAGAAGATATATAGGACCGGAAAACCTGGTAGTTCTGTGACTAAACTACACCTGTGATGATCAACATGAGAATATATTTTATACATCAAGGGGAAAAGAATACAGGACATTTTTGGGAGAAGATTCTTGACTCTTCTTTGAATTTTATGGTTCTTCATTTGCTAGAGCTTCCTTGTAATAGTCTTCCATTTGCAAAAAGGTTCAACTATCTATGCAATTAGCCTATATTTCATGTGACCCGATCAATGCATGGTTGTTTGATCTCTTACCGAAAAGGCTGTATTGAGTAGTGGTAAATAGAACATATCAAGCCCCCCTATGGATGCTCGTCTTGATGATACCATGAGGCGTTAGTTTGTTTGTTTTGTTATGGAATCCTGTACGACTGATCCGTTTTGTTGTGCTAGGCAATTGAGTTTAGCGATTTTGTTGTGGTCTTTTTCTAGAGCAGCGTCCAGGTCTGGAGTGATTCCAGGGTTCATTCATTCGTGGGTTTGGCAGCAAGCGCTTAACGAAACAAGTTTCTGATTGTTTGCAGGACTGTACGAATTCACCGTTCAAGGAGCCCGAGGAGGCGATACTAGGTGCTGGAAGTCGTTTTTTTTCTTCCTTCTGTGGGTGCTTCCATGGAGCAGTGTGGTGGTCTGGTGCGAGGAGTGGCGCAAGATGGTGATACGTATGTATGTGTATTTGGCTTGAGAGTTGTTTTGAGTGCGAGGAAGTGTTTGTGTTTTTTTCTTCTGGCTGTTGTTAACTTGTAACTGCTTTGGAGTTTGGATAGATGGGGTGGGCCGCCCAGGATGAATTTTACCGGGCTGGACCCGGACAGCCCACCAACTCTTCACATCCTTCTTGTTTTTGTCACTAATTTGATTGTGAATACTGCTTACTTGCTCCTTAGTCCGTCACTAATTTGCTATCCTGCCCGACAGAAGTTGGTGGGCAACGCTCACTGCACCGGCGGGGACATGTTCTCACTGTTAATTATAAATAAATAAAAATATTCTTTTAAAAAGAAGAAATATTCTTGGAAATGAAAAGAAGGAAAATGGTACGGTCTTTGCGCTCACTTGTCACAAGGTTGTCAACCTGTTTGTGTAAGTGTGCCGGTTTAGCAAGTGAAATGGTTCAATCGGTGGTACATACCGGTTTATGCCGGTTAATATTACAAATAATTTACAAATACTCATATTTAAGCACGACATTTAACGTCAATATCTAAATATTTGTATTTGAATCCAACAAATAACATCAACATTTAACTTTTTAACACATAAAATAAATAATTAATTACTTTTTATCAAATAAATTCACTAATATAAGATCATTTTACTTAGAGATTCGTATATCGATCATGCCGGTCATACCGGTTGTGTCATGCCGATTTTATGACCGGTACAGGTTGAACCAGGTTCCCCGTTATCAATGCCGTGCCCACCGCACCCACCACCATCCTGACGTCTGTCGTCGATTCCTTTGGCTTTTATTACTTTATTTATTATTATTACTTATATATATATAATAATTTTGCTGGTCATTTGCTTTTTTTTTGTTAAAAATTATTAATAATAAACTGCATTATATATTATTATATTTACCCTTCTCATTAGATCTACCGTGTCTCCTACCATATAAATACAACCTAATATCTTATCTTTCTCTCCTTTCCATCCAGAAACCATGCCTAAGCTAGAAACTGATAGGAGCTATTTAGTCCAAAAAGACGCCCTTATTCATCTTCTCGATTAATTAGGGTGTCTTTTGGACTAAATTGCTTATACTCTGTTTAACATCATCGTTGGCATTGAATCACTCGGCGAGGTATTCGATCAATCTTTTCTCTTTCGCTTTTTTTCATTTAATTTACCTATCTTGAAACCTAATTTGAAATTGGAACTTTTGAGACTCTTATTTCCCTGCAAGTTTTTTTTTGTTTCTGGAATTCATATTATGAAATCCAGAACTATATTGTTGATACGATGGCGAATTATCTCTGCCACATCGAGTTTTGGTTCACAACCTCTGTGTCCACTGATGGCCTTCACTCTGCGCTGGCCATTGCCGAACAAGCTTCCGGTGACGTGTTGGTGGTGCGAACCACAACCGTTCTCAGGCTGCTTGCCGCTCATTCATCCATCTTCATGATGCCGATCTTTCACTTTTCTGTTCTTGGTGTTCATTCATTTTCCTCGTTGGCGCTGAATTGGAACTTTTATTTCTGCCTGTTAGTTAGATCTTTGGATAGTGAATTTAATATTGCCAACTACAATGAATGCTATGATATATGCTAATGGAATACGATCCCCACGAGAAGCTATCAATAAACTTTGTAGTTTTTTTTTTTGTTTTAACTTTAGTTGTAGAGCCTAGGGATTTTTAGATGGAAATCAACTGTGCAAAGGCAATGTGGTATTATAAATGTATAGCTGAGAGTGTCTGCAAGAGTTCAGGTAGAAGTAGTGGATGTGCTCTTGCAAGCCAACTTGAATGTGCTTCGATATTTCGTTGGCCTGCCGCGTTGTGTCATCGTGAATTCTGCGACTCGCTTGCTTTTGATTTGTGGTATTTAAGATTCGAAATTCAGAAACTTTCATATTCAGAATTCAATCGATGGTGTTATATTTAGTTTCCACTGGCATCTTCATCTTGATTTTGTGTTTCTTAGTAATTGGATCAGACCACCAGGGAGATGGATGGATGGCACAAGCTCATTCGTTTGTTTTTGCTGTTGCCGCCGGCCCGGTGGCGTGAGAGAAAAACAACCTGATGTCTTGTTCAGACAACACAGTGTCACTCACAGGTGAGCTCACTCTCCCATGGACTGACTAAGAAGCTCCATTTCTCGCTTGGAATCCTCAAATCCAAGCTAGAGCACCGATATTCACCTTTGAAACTCTCTCTGTCATCATGTGTTACGTTATGGATTAATTATCATTTTTGGCTCATGTTATTAACCTTTTTTGTTTTTGGATTTGGTTCGGTTTCATGGTTCTCGATCTCAATTTATGCCCCGTTCGCTTGTCATTTCGTTTTATGTTTCAATTGCCACAGCCAAAATGAGAGAACACATACTAAAAAAATGTGTTCACTTCTCATTTCCTTTTTAATTGAAAAACCATATGGCAAGAAATGGGCAGCTGCAAGGACACAACACGGGCTTGTTTGCTGGGAATAATGGTGTACGATATTCCCCCCATTTGTCCAGCGGAAAATAACCTATCCCACCCGAGCCTTCCCTTGTGAAACCCTAGTTAGTAGTTGGCATTCATTTCATTTTCAGCTGCTTCGTCGGAGCTCCTTCCTCCAGCGGTGAACGACTTCCCTCCAGCGACAGCTTCTTCAGTTTAGTTCCCAACCCCTCGAAGCTCCTTCCTCCCCAAATCCGTCTTCGAACTTCATCATCCCATCTCCAGCAGCCGACGAGTACTCCTCTTTTTCCCCCTCAACTGGTCGACATGTCCCTCTTCCCAGCAGCACGTCTCCTCTGAGTTGCCGTCGTCGCTCCGGTTAGTCTCCTTCCTCTCTTGATGTGATGTCCCTTAATGTCTCGTTCTGTGTTGGTTTGAGCTTAATTGGTGATGGTGGTTGATTGTTGAACGGTATAATCTCAGTTCAAAGCATGAGTCTGGCTTTCTCTAGTTTCTTACCGCCATTGTCGTTTCCCACTTAATGAACCCTGCAATTTTCTAAGAGCACTCAGGTTTCTCTTTGTCACATCCAGTCTAGCCTGCTATTGCAGAGATTGTTTCTCATTTGGCGTGTGAAAGTCTAACTAGGTCAGAAGATTTATTTGAATGTGTTTTCTTATACAAATAACAGATGGATTTGTGAAACCTAATTTCTTTTTTCCGCTTGATAATCGAAGTTGATGTCAGCTGTAATTGCAATAACCTCCAAACCTGCCAATGTTTCCTTTTGCATTTGTTCAGCTGCTACAAATGTCAGTCTTAGAAAGACTAGTTTATTTTCTTGTCTTTGCATAATCGGGTAGGATACTGATACTCATAGCTTGCTTACTATTAGTAAATTGTTGTTGTAGGACATATATGAGTGGTTTAAGGGATCGCTTGTAGAGTCAGGTTTTCGATCCCATCCATTTGTCGTCACCCCAAGAAACAGCAGCAGCAGTTCGATCCCGGCTGTTCGCCCCTGCTCCTGTACGTCCCCGTCCGTCCCATCCCAGCAGCAGCCGTTCGTCGCCCCACTGAGAAACAGCAGCAGCCGTTTTGATCCCAGCCGGTCTCCCTTGCTCCCGCTTGTCTATCTCGCCCTCATCCTCCCTACTTCAGTCTTCTCCCACGCAGCTCGACACGCTCCTACGTGGCCTCCAATAGTTGTAGCTGTCGTTCATCATAACCCTGAGTTCAAGGTAAATGGTTTCCAGATTTCCCTATCTCCCTTTAAGGGGTTTGATTTTTGTTTTTCCCTTGCTTCGATTCCAGAGTTGGTGGGCTCTTGTATGCTGATATGGTGAATTGATTTGATCATTTTGTTTCTAGTTAATGGTTCTGCAGCTCTTGTATGCTGATATTGTGATGATGTTTTTCTGTACCGTTATCTGTTCTGTTTTGAGTTGTGCTAGATCTTCGGTTTTGTTATATATCTTCTTGCATTTGTTCAGCTGCTACAAATGGCAGTCTAGTTTATTTTCTTGTCTTTGCATAATTCGGTAGGATACTTATACTGATAGCTTTCTTACTGTTAGTAAATTGTTGTTGTAGGTCATATATGAGTAGTTTAAGGGATCGCTTGTAGAGCCAGGTTCGATCCCATCCATTCGTCGTCACGCCAAGGAACAGCAGCAGCCGTTCGGTCCTTGCTGTTCGGCCCTGCTCCCGAACATCCCAACCCAGCAGCAGCAGTTTTGATCCCAGCCGGTCGCCCTTGCTCCCGCTCGTCTATCTCGCCCTCATCCTTGCTACTTCAGTCTTCTTCCCCGCAGCTCGAAATGCTCCTCCGCCGCCTCCAATAGTTGTAGCCGTCGTAAATCTTAACTCTGAGTTCAAGGTAAATGGTTTCCTGATTCCCCTATCTCCCTTGAAGGGGTTTGATTTTTGTTTTTCCCTTGCTTCGATTCCAGAGTTGGCGGGCTCTTGTATGCTGATATGGTGAATTGATTTGATCATGTTGCATCTAGTTAATGGTTCTGCAGCTCTTGTATACTGATATGGTGATGACGTTTTCCTGTACCATTATCTGTTCTGTTCTGAGTTGTGCTAGATCTTCAGTTTAGGTATATATCTTGTGTCTCACAATTTCTCGTCCTTTCTATGTAGCTGCGATCTTCTCTCCAAGTGGCATTACTGGTTGCAGCAGTTAAGTATAACATCTGGTAATCTATTCCTGTTTATGAGAGAAAGAAGAGCTGCTTGATGTGTTTAGCTTTTAACGGTGAATAAAATTTCACTTTGTTTGGCAGTTAGATAATTTGTAAACCTGGAGAAGGATCATAGTTCTGTGGAAATGATAGCTTCAGCTAGATTATCAACTCTTTTATGCTACTGTTATATGCCTTCCAATTTACTGCTGACTGCAGCACAATTGCATTTTACAGGTTCTCGATTAATTAGGAAAAAGGGCTATAAGGGATCGCTTGGAGAGGCAGATTTCAGGCAAAGGTAGGACTGGTGGATGATCATCCAAAGGGGTTGAATATATTGCTCATTCTTTAGCAAGTTATGTGCTTGGATTTTGAATTGTCAGAGGGAAAATCATCTTCATTTATATGGCCGGTGGCTACACATTGATTATGTGCAAACCAAATTAAGTTTCATACAAATGCAAATCTTAGAATATTTGGGCTTGTTATCCGGCATATTCACAGTTTTATGGTAGTGTAATCATTCATTCTGATTTTTCTTTCTTTGCTTGTTTATGTGGTTATGGTTGCATCAGGAATGGCTGGACCCGTGTCCGAGAAGAGGATTTTGTACTTTTATGAACCCAGCATAGGCGACTACCTCTACGCCCCCAGCATGTGATGAGGCATCAACGGATTTAGATGGCACACAGCCTGATACTCCACTATGGTATACACCGTAAAATGGAGATCGTGAAGCCGTTTCCTGCACACCCCTGAAGATATTCAGCGTTTCCACAGCAAGTCCTACATCGACTTCCTAAGGACTGCAAAGCCGGAAGGTGTTTTAACCAAACTAGCAACAAAGTTTGGTCTTGGAGAAGGCACCTCAATCTTTCCAGGCATGTTCGAGTTCTCCAAAACCTCGACTGGTGGATCACTTGGGGCAGCAGTGAAGTTAAACCGTGGCGATGATAATATCGTCATTAACTGGGCCGGGGATTACACCATGCTGCCAAGTGTAAAGCGTCTGGTTTCTGCTATGTAAATGACATAGTACTGGGATACTTGAGCTGTTGAAAGTTCATAAGGTAATTAAACATTTTTATTTATGTTTTTATATAATAATATTTGTGTTTGTTAGAAAACTAAGTTTAATTCTCTTTTTGGTTGTGATTGTGGCGTATGATGTACATTGACATTGATGTACATCACGGTGATGGGGTGGAGCGTGCGTTTTACAGCACCGATATGGTGATGACTGTTTCATTTCATAAATACGATGAGATTAATTTCTTTCATTGGACCGGCCATATTATGGATGTTGGTGTGGGTCTAGGGAACAATTATGCAGTCAATGTCCCTTTACAAGATGAAATTGATGATCAGAGCTACAATCACTTGTTTACTACTGTCGTCCAGAAAGCAACTGAGGTCTGTAATCCTGGAGCCATAGTTCTCCATAGTGGAGCCGACTCCTTTGGTGGTGATCGTTTAGGACCATTCAATCTGACGGTTAGAAGTCATATAGACTGCCTCTGTTTTCTTAAGCATTTTAATATCCATCTTATGGTTCTTGGAGGTGGTGGGTATACGGTGCGGAACGTTGCACGTTGCTGGTGCTTTGAGGTTTGTTGGTTTCTGATCTCATTATTCAACTCTTCGGTGAATCCAGTAGTAATTTAATGGTTTATTGGTGCAGAGAGCAGTTGCGGTTGGAGTAGATGACTAATTGGACGAGAATTTACCAATTAACGAGTATATGGAGTACTACGGGCCGGATTACCAGATTCAAGAGCGACAGGTAGAAATGAAAAACAAGAACTCAGAGTATGATTTGAATAACATAAGGTAAGTGAGATATGCTTTCTGATCCAAATTTCAGCTTCAAATTTGAATGACATAAGGTAAGCTGAAATTTGGACCCAGAAACCACATCTCATTTACCTTATGCCATTCAAATCATACTCTGAGTTCTTGTTTCCCATTTCTACCTGTCGCTCTTGAATCTGGTAATCCGGCCCGTAGTACTCCATATACTCGTTAATTGGTAAATTCTCGTCCAATTGGTCATCTACTCCAACCGCAACTGCTGTCTGCACCAATAAACCATAAAATTACTACTGGATTCACTGAAGAGTTGAAATACAGAAACCAACAAACCTCAAAGCACCAGCAATGTTCTGCACCGTATACCCACCACCTCCATGAACCATAAGAGGGATATTAAAACGCTTAAGAAAACAGAGGCAGTCTGCATGACCTTTAACCGTCAGATTGAATGGCCCTAAACGGTCACCACCAAAGGCTGGAGAACTATGGCTCCAGGATTATAGACCTCAACTGCTTTCTGGACGACGGTAGTAAACAAGTGATTGTAGCTCGATCATCAATTCCATCTTGTAAAGGGACATTGACTGCATAATTGTTCCCTAGACCCACACCACATCCATAATATGGCCGGTCCGAAGAAATTAATTCCTTCGTATTTATGAAACAGTCATCACCTTATCGGTGCTGTAAAACGCATGCTCCACCCCATCAATATCAATGTACATCACACGCTACAATCACAACCAAAAAGAAAACTAAACTTAGTTTTCTAACAAACACAAATATTATTATAAAAAAACAAACAGGAATAAAAATGTTTGATTACCTTATGAACTTTCAACAGCTCAAGTATCCCCAGTACTATGTCATTTACATAGCAGAAGCCAGACGCTTTACACTTGGCAGCATGGTGTAATCCCCCGGCCTAGTTAATAGCGATATTATCATCGCCACGGTTTAACTTCACTGCTGCCCCAAGTGATCCACCAGTCGAGATTTGGGAGAACTCGAACATGCCTGGAAAAATTGGTGTCTCTTCTCCAAGACTAAACTTTGTTGCTAGTTTGGTTGAAACACCTTCCGGCTTTGCAGTCTTTAGAAAGTCGATGTAGGACTTGCTGTGGAAACGCTGAATATCTTCAGGGGTGCGCAGGAAACGGCTTCACGATCTCCATCTTACGGTGTATACCATAGTGGAGTATCAGGCTGTGTGCCATCTGGATCCGTTGATGCCTCATCACATGCTGGGGGCGTAGAGGTAGTCGCCTATAGGGATGGCAATGGGTCGGGTTGGGGCGGGTTTTGTCAAACCCAAACCCATGGGTTTATCTGCCAAAAAAATCCAGGGTAAAACCCGTTGGGTTTGAAAAACTCAAACCCAACCCGCTGGGTATCCGCGGGTTCATGGGTACCCGTGGGTTTTTGTGGTAAAAATTTTACAATAACAAGTTTCTTTCAAAATAAAAGTTTAACATCAATTTTCTCATACAAATTAATCATACAAAAAAACACCAATCTAGAGCATACAAGCAAACCGCAAATGATCAATACAAATGGTTCAAAATTAAAGATAAACATTTATAAAGAAAAGATTAATTGAAAGTTTCTTCCTCATCAACTAAGTTTCTTCACTCTCCACTTCATAATATCAACTTCATTCTAAACAATTAGAAAGAACAAATTATACATGTCTCCACAAACATAAAGAATATTAATTGTTTAAGGAAAATATATTATTTAGAATATTAAATATATCGGGAAAGTAATTATACGTGTGTGGGCGGGTACCCATGGGTCGGGTTTACCTAAACCCAAACCCAACCCGACCTGATGAATAGTGTAACAGGTTTAAACCCGAACCCGGCCCAAATCCCGTCAACACGGATTTTACCCGCGATGGCCGGGTTGGGTCGGGTGGGTACCCGTGGGTTCGGGTTTTGTTGCCATCCCTAGTCGCCTATACTGGGTTCATAAAAGTACGAAATCCTCTTCTCGAACACGGGTCCAGCCATTCCTGATGCAACCATAACCACATAAACAAGCAAAGAAAGAAAAATCAGAATGAATGATTATACTACCATAAAACTGTGAATATGCCGGATAACAAGCCCAAATATTCTAAGATTTGCATTTGTATGAAACTTAATTTGGTTTGCACATAATCAATGTGTAGCCACCGGCCATATAAATGAAGATGATTTTCCCTCTGACAGGTTGGTTGGCCACTAGTTTCTCATATGCTGTGTAGTGGGTGTTTCCATAAGAGATATACTTGTTTTGATAAATTGTACTTCTGTTGCAGGCGGAGGAGCCCATGGATCGCAGAGGAAATAGGCGGCGTTGAATGGTCTGTTGGGTGAAGCTGTGTCCACTGGCATCGTTCATTTAAGGAAAGGAAGAAAGAAGATCACCGAGCTCAATCTAAAAGAGGAAGGCATTGCTGGCTCGAGTGATTAAAGGAAATCAAGCAGGGTGATTGATTCTCCAAATCTGTGTGCAATGGGTGGGAATGGCTAGAATATAAAAGAAGAGAGCTTTGGGTAGCATAGGCATCCTTTTTGAGCAATTTTCAAAAACAGAGACGAGTGCAGACTGTGTTTTGAAAAGAAAAGGAGGGGAAGCTGTCGGGGAGACAGGTTGAGTGATTTGAGATTTGAATTCAGGCAGGGAGCTGAATTTGGATCAGGAAGTCTGATCTATTGACGGGGAGTCACCACGAGATCGATTGTAAACTGTAATCCGAATCCTACCATCATAGTGGAACGTCAAAGGACTCAAATCAGAGTACCTTTGACCGTGGATTAGTCGGTACTGAATTCATCAGTACCGGATACCACGTAAAAATTGTGTCTGTGTTTTAATTGTGTTTTATTTTGCTTCATTATATTTCCAGATTGGTTTTGTGTTCTTGTTACAGTGCAAAGTTGAGTCTTGTGCAGGACAAGTTCTTATCGGTTTGCTCAAGGGAAGGATAAGGAAACAGAGTCTTTAAAACACAGCGTTTCAAGTAATAAACTTGGGCCAACTGAACATCAGCCGAATAAGAAATTGCCCAGCCCAACCCACTTCTGTATTAGACTCAAATCACGCTGTCGTTTTTGTTCACTACGAAAGGGGAGTCTCCTTAACCTTTCCATCGATTCAATTTTCAGTTTATTCCACTCTCTTCACTTGCTCTTGTCGAAACCGAAATTAGGGTTCTGCAGAACTCAAGTTGATGGAAGAAAAAGAGGGAACTAGCTCCTGCCTCTCGCGCTCGACTCTACCAACATGGTCTTCCCCTGGTGTCAGCGGTGGTGGGTTGGCAGCACTGCAGTACTCTTTGGAAGCATTTTTCTTCACCTGTTACCCTCTCCCACTGTCTTCTTCCTCGATCTTCTGTCATGAGAACCCAGTAGCAAAGAAGCCGTGTATTGCTTCGTAGTTCAGACATTTGTCTTTTGCAGAGCAAGAACTTCAATCGTAGAGCGTGAACTACTTAACTTTTGTTTGTGTTTAGTTGAACAAGATTTATGAACGACTGTTATTTGGTAGAGGGACAGCTGAACTAGTAAGCGTTATGCCTATTACTGTTCCTTCCATCTTGTTTCTCTTTATCACATCTCTCCATCTCGTCCATGAAAAATTTATCCGAAACATGGAAAACTACTTGTGGATATCAGTCTGAATGATGCAGGCCAGTCTCTTGCTAATGGCGGCCACCTCGAAGATGGTTGTCAGCAAACAAACGATTATGTCGGGAAGAGGCGAACTTAATTATTGATGTTGTGTCTGCACAACGAATGATTATGTTGTTGTTGAAGGCTGAAGGCTAGTCAATTGTGTGTAATCAAGCGTACTTTAAAGGTTTCATACAAGTGTGGTTGTGAATTTAGATGGTCAGATCTCAGATGATTATCAAATTAACAAGACAACCGAACAAACATTTCTAGTTCATCCCAGTATACATTGGAACATGATTCATCCACTATGGTCGCGCGTTAAAGATACAACAGACTGGAAATATTGAAAGGGTGGCTAATAGTAGTTTGGTACAAACTTCTATTTACTTATCATATATTTTGATAAACCAACACATTCGATTAGTTACAAAACGGATGCCTCAACGGCTGTTCCATCGCTTAAGAGAACAGGAACATTATCAGTTCCATACAGCTCACTGCCACCATCTAGAAACCTATGGGCCAGAATATGTGCTACAACACAACACACATCTCTTTGCGACTCTGTTAGACATATGCAAAGAGACGAGAGATGAATCAATATAGTTTAATGCAAATTGAAAAAAACATTTGAATCAATATAGTTTAGTGTCTGTTATAAGTTAGCAGTTTAAAGCAAATGTTATGACTAATTAATATTCAAATGTTACCTTTTATGTAATATTTAGAACAATGTATTTATCCAATGTAAAGTTGTCAAAGTTAGGAATAGATAGTAATGTGTTGGATGCGAAAACCTATCAACGAAAAGTCAAAGTAGACTCTGATAGGTACTTTTGTAGGAATGGTACAACAATGTTAAATATAACAATAGGTATGTAACAATCTAACTCTACTCTTAATTCTTTTTAACTTCAAATTCATTCGTTCATTAAAAAAGAAGCTTTGTCCCCCTAAAACTTGAAATTTTGGACTAAATGGTGAATTTCAATTATTTTTATTTTACAGATTCGATATCCTTCTCTTGGAAAGAGCCATTGAATTTGACTTTGTGGTTTTAAATTACTATAGAGGTAGATTTTTCGTAATGCCTGCCGAGAAGCTAATCCAAGATAGTAATAGAATTTGAGAGCCTCCACCTACTTATATCCTACAAAATAAGTAAATAGAGTTGAAATTTGACAACAAACTAACTAATTAAAATATCATGAATCTCATTAGTGAATATACAGTTTTA